TGATCCACCCACCTCGGCCTCCCAAAGTGCTGGGATTACAGGCTTGAGCCACCGCGCCCGGCACATATACATATTTCTTTGTTTTTCTTTTTCATCACACAACACGTCCATGTAAGAAACATATTCTTGAAATTTGTTTTATTAAAACTCGGTTAAGGTGAATTTTCCTGTGGGAAACTGAAAATCTGTCAGGGGCTTGCATTATGTTTCTGTCGGGCAGTGCGGATGTTGAGGAGGAGACCTGAACGAGGGAGCCTGTGCGTGTGTGAACGCAGGTGTGAACAGTGCTGGGAAAGAGAAGCACGGGGCTCTCCAGAAGCAGTCAACAAGGGGCCTTCAGGCTAAGGGAGTCAGGGAGGCACTCCCTAAAAATGCACCCTTTAAACTGCACTGGCGAGTGTGCAGGTGCTGTCCAGGCAGGGTGGAGGAAGGCCATTTCCACCACAGGGACAGAGGCTCTGAGCTAAGTAAGGGCTGATTACTCTGGCTGCTGTGCACTTGAGCCAGGCCTCTGATCTGGGACTTCAGTGATTGATTGATTGATAGGATAACTACCATTGAGACACCAACAGGAAGTGAAGAGAGCTCTGACCAGGTTTCCTGACAGCTGGCCCCATTCAGCTTTTCCCACAGTTGCTGCGTACCATGATGAGAGTATCATTTTTAATCTCATAGTTAGTTTAAACTTCTAAAACATTTTCCCTTTCTCAGGTATAGTGACAGAGATACCGAGAAGTTAAAGATGTACCAGTCTCTCCTTGGGAATGACTGGAAAACGATTGGCGAGATGGTGGCCCGCAGTAGCCTCTCCGTGGCCCTGAAGTTCTCCCAGATCAGCAGTCGTAAGTGGTGGCCACCAGTGCCCACCTCTGTGAAGAAATTAACCCTGACAGGCCTGTTCAGCCATAACTGATCCAGTGCCTAGAAATCACCATAGACCTATCTTCTGTGAGAGCTTTCTTTTTTCTTTTTTTTTTTTTTGAGACGGAATCTTACTCTTTGCCAGGCTGGAGTGCAATGGCAAAATCTCAGCTCACTGCAACCTCCGTCTCTCGGGTTCAAGTGATTCCCCTGCCTTAGCCTCCTGAGTAGGTGGGACTACAGGCACGTACTACCATGCTAGCTAATTTTGTGTATTTTTAGTAGAGATGGGGTTTCACCATGTTGTCTAGGATGGTCTCGATCTCCTGATCTTGTGATCTGCCTGCCTCAGCCCCCAAAAATGCTGGGATTACAGGCGTAAGCCACCATGCCTGGCCGAGAGCTTTGTTTCTTAAGCTCTTCTCTATACTAATTCATTTGGTTTCCTCATGTATATTCAGTGAAACCATGCAACCTTTACCTACTAGATTGATTTTTACTACACGTTAGTAACTGTCCATGCAAATGTAACTGCCAGGTGGACCAGGATCCCCAAGAAACTGGTGGTAGAGCCTGGGCGGAGGGTCACTTCCCCGTGGTGGCGCGGGACACCTTGGGAGGGATGCAGGGGTGCAGTTCGTGCCTGTCGGGTGGGGACTTCTCTCAAAACCAGTGTTGGTGACCTCCTGTCTCTATCTCCCTGTCCTCAAAGGTTTCCTTTAAGAAGACAGTCCTTATCGGGGTTACTGCTTAGCACGGGGGCTCATACACTCCAGCCACACAGGTAGTGCCTTGCAGCCAGTTCTTCAGGTTTCCAAGAAGTAAAGGGAAAATCTTGAATTTTTTTTTTAAATTTTGTGAACTCTAGATATGTTTTTTCTTTCTTGGAAATCTCTTGATTTTTAAATATTCATCCAAATTGTTAATGAGGGGAAAATGTAACATTCAGTGGGCCAAACCAAAGAGAATTGCAGGCTGCCAGTGTGAGGCTCCTTACTTAGTGTGACTGTGAGTGTCTGGTGAAGAAGGGTGAACCATCGATGCTTTGGGCATCCGCCATAGATCAACCTTCAGAAATCCTCAGGTGCCTTCATCAAGTACTGTGTTGGTATCACTGTGGCTATTAATGTTACACTAGGAATGCTTGACCAGGAGACATGTACATAACATAAAGGTCATTTGGTTGGTTTTTTCCCCCATTAAACGGTTGGGAACCTCACAATTTCATGCAGGAGACATTGTTCTCAGAAACAGGATGAACAACTATTTTGAAATAAATAAATAAAACATGGCTTTGGCCGGCACAGTGGCTCACACTTGTAAGCCCAGCACTTTGGGAGGCCAGGGCGGGTGGATCACAAGGTCAGGAGTTCAAGACCAGCCTGGCCCACACAGTGAAACCCTGTCTCTACTAAAAATACAAAAATTAGCTGGGCGTGGTGGCAGGTGCCTGTAATCCCAGCTACTTGGGAGGCTGAGGCAGGAGAATTGCTTGAACCCAGGAGGTGGAAATTGCAGTGAGCTGAGATCACACCACTGCACTCTAGCCTGGGCATCAGAGCCAGAATCTGTCTCAAAAAAAAAAATTGCTTTAAGATAGGACTTCTTTGCCAGCCGTGGTGGCTCATGCCTGTAATCTCAGCACTTTGGGAGGCCAAGGTGGGCAGATCACGAGGTCAGGAGATCGAGACCATCCTAGCTAATACTGTGAAACCCCATCTCTACTAAAAATACAAAAAATTAGCCAGGCGTGGTGGCATGCGCCTGTAGTCCCAGCTACTCAGGAGGCTGGGGCAGAAGAATCGCTTGAACCCGGGAGGCGGAGGCTGCAGTGAGCAGGGATTGTGTCACTGCACTCCAGCCTGGGAGACAGAGTGAGACTCCATATCAAAAAAAAAGAAGGGACTTCTTTAATACTTTCTGGCTTTAATTCTTAAAAAGAGTCCAGGACCATGTTAATAATTTCATTTTAATATGTACATAATTGTGTTTATTAGTTTTATTGCTTTATAATTGAGATAGCCATTATTTCTGAAAAGTACCTGATTTATCATTTCATTTTTAATATTGTGTTTGAAAGCAAATAGATTAGCAACTGTAAGACCATCCTTTTATATCTACAGAAAGAAATCGTGGTGCTTGGAGTAAGTCAGAAACCCAGAAACTAATCAAGGCTGTTGAAGAAGTGATTCTAAAGAAAATGTCTCCCCAGGAGTTAGAAGACGTGGATTCCAAACTCCAGGAAGATCCTGAGAGTTGCCTATCAATTGTTCGGGAAAAACTCTACAAAGGCATATCTTGGGTAGAAGTAGAAGCTAAAGTGAAGAGCAGAAATTGGATGCAGTGTAAAAGTAAGTGGTAAGTTCTCCCTCTATCTCTCCATCTTCTGTGGAGAGGTGAGGTTACCAAGAACATCTGCGTAACTGCCATGTGGAAGCTTATGTGTCATGTCTAGTCCCCTGCCCCGCTGCTTCAGTATCGCTGTCTGATTTAAATTAGCACCTAACTAGCCCTGATGCATTGAAGAGTATATGGTTTTCTCCTAAAGAACCTGAACCTTTTTTTTCAACCCCCTGAGATGGAGTCTCGCACTGTTGCTCAGGCCGTAGTGCAGTGGCGCGATCTCGGCTCGCTACAACTTCTGCCTCCTGGGTTCAAGCAATTCTCCTGCCACAGCCTCCTGAGTAGCTGGGACTACAGGCGTGTGCCACCACGTCCAGCTAATTTTTTTGTATTTTTGGTAGAGACAGGGTTTCACCATGCTGGCCAGGATGGTCTTGATCTCCTGACCTCATGATCCACCCACCTCGGCCTCCCAAAGTGCTGGGATTACAGGCATGAGCCACCACACCCAGCATTTTTTTAAAAGAAAAAATTTTAGTTTTTATTTTAAGTTCTAGGGTACGTGTGCAGGATGTGCAAGTTGCAAGAACCTGAACGTTTTTAAAACTGAATATTGACTTCTGATTTCTTTACTGTCTTTCTAAGTCTTTAATAAAACAAGGTAGCAGTCTGTTGGTAACATTAGAAGAAAAGACAGGGGCCGAGCATGGTGGCTTACGCCTGTAATCTCAACACTTTGGGAGGCTGAGGTGGGCAGATCACAGATCATAGGAGTTCAAGACCAGCCTGGCCAACATGGCAAAACCCTGTCTCTACCAAAAGTACAAAAATTAGCCAGATGTCGTGGCTCATGCCTATAGTCCCAGGTACTCAGGAGGCTAAGGCAGGAGGGAGGGAGGGAACATACAGAGAGAAATCACAAGTGTAGTGATCAGTAGCAGCTCTGCCCTTCTAATATGCTTTCTACTTCAGCAGTTCCTCAGAGGAAGTGAGGTAGGCATACTCCTGGCTGCATCAGTCACATAGAGATAGTTTCAGTGCTGCTCTTGCCACACATTCTCTGCTGCATATAGCTCTTCCAAGACCTGGAGAGTTGCAGAGCTGGATGTCCAGCTGCAGAGACTCCTTAAACCAGTGGTTCGGGATGCTCATGACACCCCACATTGCACACGAAGGGCACTCAGTGGCTCTTGAATAATAAATAGGAGTGAAATCCAGAGTAGGCATATTTTATGTTAAAAGCAGACTCCTGGATCACACTGTTTATGTACCTTACAGCTCCAGGGAAATAAACTCCAAAGAACCGGGAATGTTGAAGGAACCAGAGCTCTTTCTACTCTCTATTTTTAGCTAAAAGAAAGAAGAGTAAGTAGTAAGCCTCGACTGGAGGATGATACACCGGCGTTAAAAAGAGGGCTGGGCACGGCGGCTCACGCCTGTAATCCCAGCCCTTTGAGAGGCCGAGGCAGGCAGATCACAAGGTCAGGAGATTGAGACCATCCTGGCTAATACGGTGAAACCCTATCTCTATTAAAAATATAAAAAATTAGCTGGGTGTGCTGGCACATGCCTGTAGTCCCAGCTACTTGGGAGGCTGAGACAGGAGAATTGCTTGAACTGGGGAGGCTGGGGTTGCAGTGAGCTGAGATCATGCCATTGCACTCCAGCCTGGGTGGCAGAGCAAGACTTTGTCTCAAAAAAAAAAAAAGACGTAGTGATCATTAAGGGTAATACTGCTTCAAGATCAGCATAATTAAGGTAACATGCAAGAGTTTGCTGTTAATTTGAGATAAAAATAGAAAAACTCTGAACATATATGTACCTTATGTAACATTGAAATGACCACTGGTACATTTCAACCTGTAAACGTGGATGGCTGTCATTAAGAGCAACAGTGCTGTTGATCAGAGTGTGTATCATATACTCCGTTACCAAGAATGTAAGTATAACAGCTAATGATCTATCAGATTGTGACACATTTTGCTATTCAAGATAAGTAGTTTTAAAATATTTTTAACTGGGCCATGGCCCTTACTAGAAACTTCAGTCAGCCTACAGCTGCTAGCTTTGGCATTAGAGGAATCGTCAAATTATTTATCACTTTACTAACTTTGTCTTATTTGATGTTCCAAGGCTGGCAATGGTAATAAGACCAATGAATGGCTGTGTGTGCATAGTCAGAATACATTGAGGACCAGGCACTGTGGCTCTCACCTGTAATCCCAGCGATTTGGGAGGCCGAGGCAGGTGGATCACTTGAGGCCAGGAGTTTGAAACCAGCCTAGCCAACATGGTGAAACCCCGTCTATACTAAAAATACAAAAATTAGCCTGGTGTTGTGCATGCCTGTAATCCCAGCTACTCCAAGGCTGAGGCTTGAGAATCGCTTGAACCCAGGAGGCGGAGGTTGCAATGAGCTGAGACCATACCACTGCACTCCAGCCTGGGCAACAGAGTGAGACTCTGTCTCAAAAAAAAAAAAAAAAGAAAGAAAAGTTAGAAGTTGGTTCTGAATGAGAGCAATTTAGATGAGAAACATACAGGAAATTTTAATGAAAACTCTACCCTTGAAAATTAACTATATTTTTCTTCCTTTTAATGTAGGACAGAAATTCTAACCAAGAGGATGACCAATGGTCGGCGCATATACTATGGAGTTAATGGCCTGCGGGCCAAAGTCAACCTAATTGAAAGGTATGGAAATAGAAACAGTGGCCTCTTAACGGTTTCTGTCTCTAGTCAAAGAGAAGCTGTTAACCCAGCAGAGTCTGCAGTGAGATTGCCAAGGTCCAAATCCTCGTTCCAGCACTTCCTGCATGTATTGTGGGCATATGACCTACCCAAGTCTCAGTTTACCCATCTTAACTCACCTACTGAGGATGATGATAGTCGTACCTACCTCTTCGTGCTTTCAGGAGGATAAAAGAAAATAACGTGAAACATACTGTGTACTCCATGTAGTTATTTTAGTCTTTGAAGCATTTCATATGGATATAAATTATTATGCCTATTGGAAAATGGGGGTAGGTGATTCAGACAGAGCCCTCCTGTGCTCCAGCGCCAGCTTGCTGGTGTCATCCTGGCTTGTCTTTGGTTTTGTCTTTGAGTTTCTGATCCCTGCAGGGTCCCCCCTGAAGTGTTGAAGGGTGACGAGGGAAAGGGAGACGTGGGCCTATTTGGTGATACGTGTGTGACTAGTGGACCTGGCCCATGTCTACTGAGGAACAGCAAAGAGCAGCAGAAGCCTTGGGTCCTGGCCCTGCTCTCTGCCTTCATTCCCTCTACCTCACGCATGAACCCTGCCTAAGGCTCACTGTGGGTTTCCTGATCCTCTTTCCTAGGGGTGGATCAAGGGGGTGGTTATGCCCCGCCCAGTCTTCCCTGCTAGAGAGACAGCATTGATTAGCAGATCCAAGAAGGGCATCTCAAGGAGGCCTGGGTTCATTAGTCATGCAGTCAAGAGCCCGTGACTGACTCTCTTGGCACCATTTCCCTGTCTGTAGAGTCCAATGGTGTGCAGGGTTACTGTAAATGAATTTGTGCATTTTAACTGGCTGGGCATGGTGAATCATGCCCATAATTCCAACAGAAAATTTAAGAATTAGCCAGGCAGCATACCACGCCCTTGTGGTTCCAACTGCTTGAGAAGCCGAGGCAGGAGAGTTGCCAGAGCCCAGGAGGCTGAAGCTGCAGTGAGCCATGATCATGCCACTGCAGTCCAGCCAGGATGACAGAGCGAGACCCTGTGTCAAAAAAAAAAAAGACCTTCACAGTGTCTGTCACATAGTACAGATGCACTCTTCCTGTGTGTCTATGCTGAATCATGAGGTGGTGTTTTTTACTATGAGAAAGCAACATAGTTTGGTGAGAGACGCAAAGGACTCAGAAGGAGGAGAGGGGTCTTTTCAGCCCATCTCTGTAGCCCACCAACTCACTGACCTTGGATTAACCTTGGGCTGGGATACTGATCTCACCAGGCATGTGTAATGAGGGAGCTGGAATGGGGCAAAAGCACAGGAACCTTCCAGCTGTCAGCATTCCATGTGTCCCTGAAGATGTCTGTCATGCTGATTTTGCTTGAAAATTTAATTTTTATTTTTTCCCACAGGTTGTATGAAATAAACGTGGAAGATACTAATGAAATAGACTGGGAAGATCTTGCTAGTGCCATAGGGTAAGACCATTTGTTTAATATTAAACTAAAATGTCATACTAGATGGTTCACACCTGTAATCCCAGCACTTCGGGAGGCCAAGGCAGGTGGAACACGAGGTCAGAAGTTTGAGACCAGCCTGGCCAATATGGTGAAACCCTATCTCTACTAAAAATACAAAAATTAGCTTGGTGTAGTGGCAGGTGTCTGTAATCCCAGCTATTTGGGAGGCTGAGGCAGAGAATTGTTTGAACCTAGGAGATGGAGGTTGCAATGAGCCAAGATTGTGCTACTGTACTCCAGTCTGGGTGACAGAGTGAGACTCTGTCTCAAAAAAATAAAAATCTAATTAAAATTAGAGATGACAATATAATAACTGCCTATCATTTTACTGGGCTGATAATGATGCTGTATTTGGAATTTTGTTTAAGTGGTGGTTAAAATTCAGTGTATTTGCTAGGAAACCAACTCGTTAATGCAGAGGAAAACATAATTTTAGGAGCAAACTGTACATAAAGGCTGTCAGCTGCTAGATAGATGAGGTTTTTATGATAGTAAATATTTCATTAGTTAGATATGCTATTTATTTTCCTTCCCTTTTTTTTTTTTTTTTTTTTTTTTTTTTTTTTTTTTTTTTTTTTTTTTTTTTTTTTTTTTT